AAAAAAAAAGTCATACATAAAAAAATAAAGGAAACAAAAAAACATTTGGGGTGTCTTCGTGGTTATTTAGTTCCTTATAAAAGGATATAAGTCCTTTTGTGGATATATTCATTACAAATATTTCTCCCAGTCTGTACCTTGCCTTGGATGATCCTAAATGGTATCTTTTGATGAATAGGTAGGAGTTTAACTATTAATTTAACTAAAGACCTACTTATCGATCTCTTATAATTAGTGCTTTTTGTGGCCCATTTTTGAAAAATCTTTGCAGAGTTCAAGGTCATAAAGACTTTCTTATGTCTCACATTAGAAGCTTTATAGTTTTATTTCTTAAAGGGTGGGGAAATTAGAAGACACAGAGCTCAGTAATGTCATTCCTCCTGTTAAGAAAGGTGGATAGAAAGCATCTGGCTCGTTCGGATGAGCCTGTCCCTTCCTCAGATTGGAATGAAGCAGAGCTCATAGGAGGGCGGTAGAGAGCATAACCCGATGCAAGAGGGGGTGGTGTCGATGTCCTTCGGATCAACCAGAGGCTTCAAGGTGAAATGCTGTAAAATGTGAGTCAATAGTAAAAACAGCTCCATGCGGGCCAGGCTTTCTCCAACACAAGCTCGTTTTCCTAAAAATGACACATAAATTAAATATTCATTTGATTCTATTTCTGAGTTAGCACACAGGCTTAAAAAATATGGAGCAAGTAAATAAACAAACATATTTTTAAAAGACTAATTAACCTATGGCTTCTCCTACCTGCATCGAAACCTGGCTTTCTTCATTTCCTCAGCACATGTTTGTGTGTGTATGCTACGTGAAAAAAACTTTTCTGTGCACCCGCATTGGATTGGCTTTGCTGAGGCCTGTCAGTGACACCTATCTACACACTCTCTCTCTCTCTCTCTCTCTCTCTCTCTCTCTCGTCACTCACCTACCCCAATTGGCATGAGACACATACTGTACTTTTCTGTCTACCTCCAGCCCAGGGCTCAACAATAGGTTTATGTCTCCTTGTCTGTATTCTAAAGCATAATCTTAACCTTGTCACATCCTCGCTTTAAAAAATTTCAAGAGCCTATCATCTCCAGGTATAAAAAGAAACATCACAACTAGTCACAAGCACAGCCATTCACGAATCCCCAAACAGACCGGCAATTTCAGACGTTATCCCCGATTCCAACCATTCCTCCAAATGGGACAGCCTTCCCCTCTGCTCTGCGGCTGATATTTGCTCCATTTTTCTAGATCCAGCTCATATGTCATGTATTCCACACAGATGTCTCTGACATACTCAGGGTATGCACCTCACTCCCTTATCTGTTTTCCACAACCCCCACTAATGCTTCTAACACAGCACACCTCACGTGAAATTCTCATTACTCATCTGTCTCACAGACTGGAATATAAGCTCTTAAGGTAAAGCCTTGGATCTTGGAATGACAGCCACAGCACCAGGACAAAAGGGAGCCTGCAAGCCTTGTGATGTGAATAGAAATCCCGAGCAGCCTCCTTATACAGGAAAGAAGATGAGGCGTAGAGCAGTGTCTTGCTTTGGGATCATCTCTGGGAATCGTACATAATCTTGCTACAAGACCCAGGGTTGCTTGATGCCTCTTTTCTTAGACATCCAATCAGGAGCAAATCTCCCATTTTGGTCTCGGTGACCGTGACTTCTATAGGAAAGGCCCTCACCCTGTAGTATCCCCACTGCTTCTCCTTTGGAGTGCGCTAAATATTCTCTATTTCTGCATCCTTTCAGGTTCGTCTCATGCTTACTCTGTGTTCAGGAAACTGATTTCCATGGACTGCATAAACCCAGAAGTTAGTTCCTTCTGGATTCCAAATAAACTCAAAGAATGAGCTACTGAAACGGCCAGGGTATTTATTTCCTCAGTCCCACCCTGCTGGGCCGCAGACTACACAACGGCTGTACTCCTCCACCTATAGACACATCTCCTGTTGGGGTGTCCCTTCTCTCTTTGCTGAAGTTCTACTTGGGTTCCAAAAAAAAAAGATATTAGGGTTCCAGTAACAGCCTTCTTCCCTCGTCCCTTCCAGCCTAGGACGGTGCGAGCCCCTGAGTGCTTTGGCAGGCCTCATAACCTCCCTTAACCCTCCCACACCTCTGAACAGGTCTTTTCATGAAACCGTCTTCAGTTGACCTTTTGGAGGATGCCACCCATTTCTTTCCAAGACTCTGACAAACTGAAAGAAGCTACTGCAATGCTACTTCCTGCAGGAAACTCTCCCTTACCCTCCAGCTACTCTGGCCTCTGCCTCTGCCCCCCAAAAGCCAAGAGTCAGGAGCTCCTCTGTCTGGGCTCCCACAACAGTCCCTCGAAGACCATGTGTCTCTCTGGGGTCTCACTGCCCATGAATTTGCTTCCCTGTCTCTTAAGAGAGAGGCTCTGTTCCCTAGTCACATTTTACCCTTGGATGGGAGCATGAGCCTGGTACGTAGGAAGTGTATGGAATGAACTGGCTTCTCAGGGGAGGGGAGTCTAAGCAGAACTGAACTTCTGGAAGGAGCTCTCAGAGACTCAGCAGTGGCCTTTGGGACAGACTCTGAGCAGCCTCCACTCCAATGAGCAATAACCTAGGCTCGGGGAGTGGTGCCTCTAGCCTCATGCAAATGACAATTTGTCCAGCCTGGAGTAGCCTGCATGCCAAGTGCTTCCTCATCTCATTTGACCCCTGATGCACAGATAAAAATGGAGCTTGCTTGCCTGCTGAAAAAGGCATGAAGTATTTACTCTTCTTAAAGTTGCCGCTTTCATCTAGGAAGTGGCCGGGATCGAACTTCTTTGGGTTGGGAAACTCCTTGTCGCTGTGCAGGACGGAAGTCAGACATGTGACTACAGATGTGCCCTGAGAGAAAGAGAAACAGGTAAACAGGGTTACAAGGAAGGTTATAAAGCTTGAAAAAAAGTCCCTTATCTAATCCTTTTGTTTTCTAGATGAGGAGACTGGGGCATAAAAAGGAGAATCTATTTACTTCATGTCACAGAGCAAATTAATGACCAAGCCTAACAGGGATTAAATCACATAGTGCCAGTCCAGGGTGTTGGCCATTGGCTCCACGCCTGACACCAGAGCTTGCTTTTCAAAAAATTAAGGAGGTTCCCTGGAGTGCATTATTCTTAATAAATTGCGCTATTGTCTAAAGTGCTAATGTCACTGAAAATCCAGCTGATTCTCTTTATTTTTTACGTTTTTATTGAATTTTTTAGAGAGAGAAACATTGATGTGAGAGAGAAGCATCACATCCTATGTACAGCACCCCAACTGGGGAGTGCCCAGACCGGGGATCGAACCCACAACCTGGGCATGTGCCCTGACCAGAAATCACACTGGCAACCTTTTGATGCACAGGTAACACTCAACCCCCTGACCCACTCTGACCTGGGCTCCCGCTCATCCTCTTTGAAACCAAGTATGAGGTCTCTTCAAAACTCCACCTGAGGGGCCATATTCTCGAAAACCCTTTATTTCCCAATCAGAATAAGAAACTAGTAAGTACCCCCTCCTCCTACTATGTTCTTTCCATTGAATTGTTGCTTTTTTTTTTTTTCTTCATGAAAATTTTGAGAGGTGAGACAGATAGTTGAGGAGGTAAGCAGAGTGTAGGATATTGGCTCAGTGGTCAGAGTAATAAAGCACACACTGGAAAGTAGAGAGCTGGACAGCAGGCTGGACTAATGGACAGGCAGAGTGTCCTGAAAATCCGGTGGGAATCTAAGCAGTATTATATTTATACAAGCCTGTGGGGCTCAGTTGGCTGAGCATTGCTCCATGCACCGAAAGGTCACCTGTTCAATTCCCAGTCAGGGCACATACCCAGGTTGTGGGTTCAATCCCCAGTGAGGGTGCATATGGGAGGCAACCGTTCGATGTTTCTCTCCCACATCAATGTTTCTCTCTCTGTCCCTCTCCCTTCCTCTCTCTCTCTCAAAAAAAAAAAAATCAATAAAAACATATTTAAAAAAATAATAATAGTATCAACCAACTAGAAGGAAGAGAGCATGTCATCAGAGGGCTTGGGCCTGAGTCATGAAGGTGCAATCCCTGTAGAAAGGCAGCCTGTAATTCTACTGCAGTGATAGTGGAAACCGAAGGTTCCTATGGAGGGGTGTAAAGGAAATCTCTCTCACCTTTGGAATAAAGTATTCTCTGAACTTAACATCCTGGTTCACCACATGGGGCAAGTTGGTGGGGATGAGGTTAGCGTATCTCTGGACTTCGTGCACCATGGCATCTGTGTAGGGCATGTGGCTCCTGTCCTGCATGCAGGGGCTCCGCTCTCTGCCAACCACACGCTTAATCTCTTCCTGGACTTTAGCTGGTGAGGTGGAAATCAGAGTTTATGTGAAATGGAAGAACTTTTGAAATGATCTTAATGTTGAATACATAGTGGTGGGAGATGGGGAGAAGGGAAAATTACAATGGTTACCTCCATAAGGGGAAAAAAGAAACAGAATTTCAGTCTCCTGGGCAAATTGGAATCTCATTAAAGACTTCAATTCAAAACACAATGGTACCATGAAATTCATTTCTCAACTCTGATTCTTTATTTTGTGTATTTTTGTTTGATAGACCCAGGGGTCTTGGATCTTGAAAGCTCACTACAAACGTTGTTGTTTAACCTCGTTGTGTATGAAGTTTTGTTCTATTAAATATGTAACTTCCAAGGGGTTAAGAACTACCCAGTGCACTAAATGCTTAATAAATAGAGCAATTAAATAAGCTGCTTAGTGGACTAGGCATATAGGAACAAGAAATTAACATCTATTTAGCATGCAAAATTTAGCAGGCATGCTACACTAATTATTATATTACTTTATAATTTCTCAAAACAGTCCTATGTGTTGGGTATTAGTTTGTGTATCTTAAAAATGAGGAAAGTCAACATATTTCTTAAGGACATCCAGGTGTCTTGTGGTCTTTCTCACTCCCAAGCTCACAATCTTGGAAATGGAATAAAGTTACTAAAAGTAAGTTGTTAGTGAATTATATTTTTACTTTACCTACAAAGGATATCATGTTAATAATATATAGCTAGGTAAAACTATTCATTAGTTAAAAACAAATGCTAATCAACTTTTCCTTTGTGGGAACGACTCTGTGAGTGTTAGAAAGTATTATCGTCTCCCTTAGACAGATGACTAGCTGGTCTGACACAAATCAAGGACAGTCCATCAATGCAGTGAGAACAGTGACCTCTGCCCTTCAGTCTCTGCCTCTATTTAAATATTGTTTCCTCTTTCTGTAGTAATCTAATTTGAATTTAATTCATTCAATGATAGGAAGATGTATTATTGATGGAAATTTTCTTGTACATTGTCTAGGCAGGTGAAGAGTAGGATAGTCATCAGTGTTGCCTGCCAATTTCTACCTGGAATTTTATCCTGCCCATCATCTGGGATCATACCTGTGACCTCTGGGTGCTTCAGCAGGAGCAGGAGTCCATATTTCAGGGTGGTACTTGTTGTCTCAGTTCCCGCATTAAATATATCCCATAGGGTAGTGATCAAGTTGTCCATGGTAAATGCAGTCTGTTTGTTGTGCTTTTCCTAGTAATGATGTATTAGAATTACTTGAGAAATAAAAGAGCTTTGGAGATATCATAACATAACTCAATATAACATCATTATTTGCTTTATTTGCTTATTTCACTAATTAAGCCCAACATTAAAGAGTGAAGGTAAAGTTAGATGAGTTGTTGGGATTCCTTCAAACATTTTAAAATAAAATCAGAGCTATAAACTTTCAACAAGTCCTTCCTGATTCCTCCCTTTCTCACCCATGAGAGCCATTCAGTTCTTTCAAACATAATTTTTATCAAGTCATCATGGCTACTCACCGTCAGTTCTAGCATCTATTGTCTATTTCATCACGTCTAAATTTCTCATTCAAGCCTCCAGAACCACCCGCCCCCTAACCACATCACTATTCCCAATGTCACCAGTCACTACGCCCGGGACAGGTCCTCAATTACAATCAAGATAACCTCTGTGAGATATACACACACTTGACCATAGTCCCCTAGGCCTATTTTGTCATCTCGGTTAATCTAAGTCAGTTTCCTCTAAAACTACCTCACCTGGGAAGATTTCCTAGTGTCTTTCCCAAGGTAAGCCTTTCTAGATTCCTGTCCATCCTTGGTTCCCTCACATGTTACACATTGCATTCATGGAACTTATTTTATGCATGACATGTGTTGTTTATCATTAATCTTAAATATGTGTGTGCTTGTTTGCGTGTGTGTGTGTGTGTGTGTGTGTGTGTGTGTGCTTCAGTCTGCTCCAAATAAAGAACCAGTTTTAACAATGTAAATATAAAACCTTGTGAACCATTTAGTGGGAATTTGAAACTGTCTCAAGGTACCCAGTACGGTTTGTACAAGTAAGAGGTTGTACAAGCAATGAATCTATCTTTAGGAAGAAGCATTTGATTTAATATCCCAGTTTCACTGGAAAGATACAAACTGATCCATGAGTCACATCACCCACAAAGACGAAGCCGCAAATCAGGGCCATTTATACCTTTTCCATTTTAATCAGGAAGTAGTCGGTAAAGTCTCGAGGGTTACTGAGATCCAGAGATGCCTGGTGTTCTTTTATTTGCTCCAAAATAAATTTATTCTGTTCAGCAACATTTTTAAATAATTCATTATGACTTCCTGGGAGATAATGTATTAAAGAAGGGAAAGTATTGTAGAGCTGGAAGAGAAAACAATTGTTCATTAATTCACTCAGCAAACTCGTGTAGGCCTCTATTGTCTATCAGACACTTTGCTCTCTCTTCCTTCCTCTCTCTCTAAAATCAATAAAAACATTTAAAAAAACCATAAAATGAACGTTGACTTTACCTGTATCCAGGAGGTGCATAAAATTTTGAAGTTTTCTTGAAAATACTTTAACAAGGTCAGCAATTTCTCATCATTGTACTCAAAACGGCTCTGGAAAATAACGGAGCAGATCACATTGCAGGGAGCACTGCCCAGGAGGAAAGAAGGATCGCAGGGAGATGCTAAAAACAATGTAAGTCAAAAGTTAGAGCAGAATTTGCATTTAAATCTTAAGTTGACTATGTAAAATAACTGAGAAAAGTCGACTCCAAAGATGTTTTTAAGGACAGGAATTACCTAGATGTGCCACCATCGATATAAACTCAACATGCCTAAAATAAAATGTACTACGTTTCCCCAAACAAAACCGTCTACTCCAGTCCAATGTATTAATTTCCCCTCAAGTATTCTCCTATTTATACGATTCTCCAAATAAGAGCCACAAGACAATTCACAAGAAGGAGATCTTTTAAAAATATCTTTTAAAAATGTATCTATTTATTACAATATTGGTGGCTAGATTCCCTAAGCTGTACTTTACACCCCCCGGCGACTCTGTAACTACCAGTCTGTGCTTTTCAACCCCTTCACCTTTTTCACCCAGCCCCCCAACCCCTTTCCCCTCGGGCAGCCGCCAGTCTCTTCTCTGTGTCTATGAGTCTGTTTCTGTTTTGGTTGTTTATTTATTTGGTTTTTTAGATTCCACATATAAGTGAAATCATATGGTATTTGTCTTTCTCTGACTGCCTTACTTCACTCAGCATAATGCCCTCTAGGTCCATCCTGCTGTCACAATGGTAAGATTTTGTTCTTTCCTACAGTGAAAATATCTCAGAAAGTGTAAAATGCAGGCCTCCATGTGGCTGCTTCTCAACAAGGCCCGTCAGAAACCCAGCAACCCAGCGAGAAACCCAGCAACCCAGCAAGAAAATCAAGACCCTGAGGAGATTTGAAATCTTATTTTACAAAACACAGCTGAAAAAAGTTGGGTGTGCTTTCCTTGTAGAAGAGAAGAAAAATGAGAAAAATTGGAGTTACATTCAGATATTTGAAAAAATATGTTACAGTATAGGAAACAAGCTTCCTACATGTAATAAAGAACATGACTCCATTTTTTGGCATTTGGCTGCCGACAGCTGTTAAGCCTTACCTTTTCTTCCTCTGCTCACATCTGGACAAACCAATAAAAAAAAATCTCAGGTGTCCCCTCCTTGGCACAAGCAGGGTGTTTAACCCACACAAGCCCTGGCTGGCACAGGGAACCCCCACCCACACCTCACCCCCCAATCACCATAGAAACCTCAAGCCAGTGTCCTTTCCCTGCTGTCAGGCCATTGTGTGATCTGCTTAGGAGCCACCCCACCTCCAAAGAAAGCCTCATTATGTGAGTAATGAACCTGCTCATATCCTATTGGGGGGAGGGGGGCATGCAGCAGTTTCAATCTTAACATCTAAACCAAACTTTAGTTGGGAGGTCCATCCTGCCTCTGTGGGGTAACTGCCACAACACTATAATTCCGAAAGGCGAAAACTTAGCAGGGATCAAAAGTAGAAGTTACAAGGAAAAGAGGTTCTGCTCAACATGTGAGAGAAACTTCCAACAGTTAGTTATCCAGAGATGAAATGGGCTGCCCCGAGGGTGTGAGGTCCCCATAGCTAGGGGGAACCAAGCAGAGTCTCAGTGTTGATGGGTCAGGAAACTGAGAAGGTCATATTCACTATGGGAAAAGTTGAACCAGTCAATAATAAATTCTGCTTGACATATAAATTAAGTGCACAAAATCATTTCCCAGATAAAATGTATCAAAATCCAACATTGGTTGACTTAATTCCATTTCCAAAATTTTATTCTAAGAAAGTAGTCAGGGATATGCAATGATTAATATGGATTGCATTTTTTTCATATTAAAAGCAACAAAAACTGAAAACAGTCTATTTGACCAAAAATAAGTCTCTTTAAATAAACTATGGTACATCCAAAATAAGGAATAGTGTACTATTCTGTTAATAATGTTCTTTAAAAGCATTTAAAATTAAACATGTGAAAAATGTTTATTTACTATATTAAATTTAAACCTAAGTTTACATAATAATATACCCAGTACAAGCTTCATGCCCTTATCCCTTCTTCTTCTAGGTCTTCCACCCATTACTAGATAATATGTAGCAAAAGTCCAAATAATGTTCATTGACACTCTACCACTATTTCCAGAAATTTATTCTAAGGAAGAAATCAGAATTATGCAGATATTTGTAATAATATTAATATCAGCAAAAGAGAAATAACCCATCTGGAGAGTTTAAAAACACAATGGCAGTTCACCAAATAGAATATAGTATTATTTAAGTTAATAATGTTCTTGAAAAATATTTAAATATTGAGGCTAAAAACCACATATATTTCATGATCCTGATCTTACTAGTTTCCTGCTAAGTCTCCTGCCCGCCCCTTTCTCTTCTACCTCCTCTCCCTGTCCTGGATGGTGCATACACACATATGCACACATATACAGACCGCACATACACACACATGTACATATACACACTGCACATACACGCACTGCACATGAACACACATATACACATGGCGCACATACACACATACACACGTGTACACACATATGCACACTGCACATGTACACACATATGCACACACTGAGCAGATGGGTGCTACAGCAGCTCCCTTCCTTCACACCTACACTCCTAAGGGGGCTCAGCACAGCCCTGAGCATTGAAAAGGGTTTGACATAAATTCCACCCCTGAACCACCAGGGCTTTTTCACCTTTACTGAGATATAACTAACATTCAACACGTATATGTTTAAGGTGCGCAGCATAACAACTTGATGCACCTATATTGCGACATGTTTGCAGTGTTTCTCAAGAAGTTACTAGAGAAATCACTTAGTTTTTCAGGTTACTGTGGCCAGAACTACCGGCTGATCACCAAAGTCCATGCTGTCGTGTTCTCGCAGGGCGCCAGGGCCGCAAGCCAGCCCAGAGGCGAGCGAGTCACCGCGCGCCCCGGAAAGCAGCTCGCGTGCCACCGCCAAGCCTGGCCCGCTCAAAACAGGACTGGCGCTTTCCCTTGTCCTTTGCTCCTCCCACTGCCGTGAAAAGGGATGGATCCTGGGTGACACCGGAAGCCACAAGGGGAAGATATCAAAGCCCCTATCAACCTGGTACCCGAAGAGCCTGAAAAAACCAGCCACTTCACCTCTTCTCCTGCCAGGTGAGCAAAAAGTAAACTTCCGCTGTACTTGAGCCGTCGGATCTCTCTGTAGTCTATCTGCAATAGCATTCAGTCTACCCAAAGCATTTCTGTTAATTACATAAAGAAAACACACCGTTGGTTTTTCTTAATGCTTCCACAAGACACAAGGCTTCCTCTTTGATTCTGTCTTCAATAGTCTTCTTTCCCATTCCCATATTCCGCAAAACCATGAGGGAGAAACTCCGGGTTTGCTTCCAGATTTCTCCATTGCTGAAAACAACTCCTATCAGGATGAAAAATAAATAACTCTCATTTTCATTCATTCGAGCTGAGAGTCTTTAGCTCAGAAAATGATAATGTCACTTAAGCAGAAATGTAAATATAATGGTGCCAGCCTCAGAAATTCCCAATGAGCCCTACTTGGCCTGCCTTCTCTCTCACCACAGCCTAACATTTAGTAATATGTCAAGACTCTCGGTTTGATGTATTACTAAACTCTTAAGTAAAAAATCTTTTTCTAATATCAATTCCAATCCATTCTTACTATGTGTTTCTCCATAATCCTCTTTTCACAGCCTAGTTGTGCTTATCTTCTATTGAATTCAAATATCTCTTATCCTTTTTAGAAGATGAGAAGACTAAAGGTGAGGTTGGAAATATTCCAGATTTATGTTGGTTCCATGCACACTGTGCAAGCTTTCTAAAATAATCTCTTGGCACCCATGACTCAGGACAGAAAGCAAAATATTTGGCGAATAGAATAATTTAGTCAACCTCCTCCCCCCCTTTTCTCTCTGTCTCTCATGCTTAACAGTCCATAATTTAAAATGAACATGACTTAGTCACAAATTCATAGAACATTCGTTAGTTTGCTTTCATTGAATTTATTGTTTCATGGAGACGTTGTGTCACTTTCATCATTTTAAATATGGAATAATTATCCTTTATAGAAAATGTTGGAATTATGATATTTCCATAAATTTCTCTAAATGCGTAAGATTTCTCAATTCCTTCACCTATGTGGAATCTTTGCAACTTGCAAATCCATGCACGGTCCCCAAATGGAAGCCTACCTCGCCCCTGGGCAAATACGTCCAACACTGGGAGATGCCCTCTTCCAGAAAACTCCTCACCCTGGTCAATCAGGGCCTCTTTCACTGCTTCGTATCCGTGCAGCACCACCGTGGGCTGCATGCCCAAGTACACCGTGAACACCGGGCCGTAGACTTGTGCCAGCTGGGAAACGAACAGGAGACACAAGGATAGTGAGAATCTCAAAACTAAAACTGCAGATAAGTGAGAGAAATATTCTTAACCTTACCGAAGAGACATTTTAATATTCATTCACCCATTATAAAATATTTCAACTTCTAGACCCAGTAATTTAATAAGAAGTCATATTACTTTATTGCTATTATTATCACCATCAATAGTTTTCCTTTATTCAGCTTCTACTGTGTGACTCTGTCATAAATTTTATTCATATTATTTCATTAATTTTTTTCTACCAAACCTCTGCTCCAAATGTCTCCTTCCTTCCTATAGTTACAATAAATGATATGTTTCTCCTGTTTAAGGGAAGTTTCTCCATCTTGCTCCAGGTGTAAAGAAACAATTGCCCTTTATTATCCATTCTCTACATCTTTTTAACACCAGAGACTCTACGTTTTATTTCTACAAACAGACATGGCAGCCTCATTACAGGCCTTCCCAGCTTCCATGTGTGGCCATGAGACTAAGCTCCCATGAACTGATGTTAGCAGAAGCGACGTGTGCAAATCCTACACTGTTGCACAAATCGTCACAAGATGCTTTCCATTTCTTCCCTTTTTCGTAGGTTGAGATGACACATGGAGATGGCCCCACTGTGACCACGAAAATGAAAGCAATAGCCCAGGGGCAAAGGATGGTAAAAACAAGACTGAGAAAAACTGGTTCTCTGAATGACCTCATGGAAGAGAGAGAGCCCACCAGCAACCATCTCTAAATCATATGAAAGACAGAAATAAACTCTTGTCTTGTTTAAGCCATTGCGTTATTGGGGTCTTTCTCTTATGGAAGCTTATTTAGTATACTAATGATGTGGGACTTAAACTCTTTCCACCGGTCCCGTGTTTGAGTCTTGCTACCTTACCATTCACTCTCCAATTCATGCTCCAGAGTGATGTTTTCACCAGGCAAATGCTAACATGACAGTCCTGTAAGCACCTTCGTGGCATCACATTGTTCTTGCGCTAAAGACCAATACTCTTAAAATCCTGTAAGACCTGCATGCTCTGGCCCCTGCTGACCTCTCCAGCCTCCCCTCACACGATGTTTTTAATCACTCTCTGGGCTACGACCAAACTGGTCCTTTTTCAGAGACTCTAACAAGTAATTCTTCTCCGGATCAAAAAAGCCTGGGACAAACTTTTATCTGGTTTTTGCCTGGTTAACACCTAATCTTTCTTTGGAGCTCAGCTCCAAACTCAATTCCTCAGAGAACTCTTTGCAGAGTGTTCTTCCCTCCCCAGTCCTCCAAACTACATGGCCTCTTTCTACTGGGTCCCTGTTACACGGTTTGAAATTGTACACTTATTAGAATTGTTGTATCATAAATACATGCCTACCCTCTAGATTGTAAATTCCATAATACTAGGTTCTTTTTTTTTTCCATTCACCATTGAAAATCCCCAGCACACATAAAAAGAAGTAAAATCTTACCATCTGTGACTGCGGGGAGGGACCTAGAGGGTGTTATGGTACATGAACTAAGTCAGTCAGAGAAAGACAAATACCATATGATTTCATGTATATGTGGAATCTAAAGAACAAAAATACCAAACAAAATTGAAACTGACTTATAGACACCGAGACGGGACTGGTGATTGACAGAGGGGAGAGGGGTTGGGAGACTAGGTGGAAGAGGCCAAGGGGTTAAGAAGTACAAATTGGGAGTTACAAAGCAGTCATGGGGGTGTAAAGTACATTATAGGGAATATAGTCAATAATATTGCAGTAACCATGTATGGTGCCAGGTGGGTACTGAAAGCATCAGGGGGAACACTTTGTAAAGTGTATGACTGTCAAATCATTCGGCTCTACACCTGAAGCCAATACAAAATAATACCGAAAAAATCCCTAGCACCTAACATAGTGCCTAATACAAAGCAGGCATTCAGTAGCCTGTTGAATGTATGATATACTAATAACTTCTGCAAAATAATTATTACCTTTTAAAGAAATGGAAATTGAAGCTCAGAGAGATTTTTTAAACTTGCCCAAGGTTTTAAGTTAACAAATGTTCTGGGGTGCCGACTCGATCCCTTTGAATCCAGAGCCCAAAACAGAGGAAGAAGCAAGGGGCAGTGCTCTGGTAACAAGCAGTCTCAGAGGAGACAGATTTCAAATAATTCCTTCAAGGTTTAGAGAGCTATTGCTACTAAATAGCTAAGAGTAGAGCACTTATTCACTCATTCATTGAGGAAATTTAAAAGAAACCGTGGAAGTTCCTGAACCTTTAGTTAATTCCTTAATATCACATTGGTGTGTGCTTTTAGGAAAATTTTAATGTTGTGCCTCTATAAATCAGTAGATTTTTTTAATTGAAAGTAGATTCATTGCCATTAGAGTTCACCAAGGAATAATTACTAGAAAGAGGACCTAGGTCGCAATATGCGCAGGAAATTCCTACTTTTGGTAATTTCAACAGTCTCACCCTCTTCTAGCCCCTGTCTAGCTGCACGCCACTTAAAATCATGTCTGGTGGAAAAGGAAAGGGACTATAGGATTTCATGCATATGTGGGATTAAAACAGAAAGCAACAAGCAAACAAACACACTCATAGACACAAACATACGGTGGTTACCAAAAGGGAAGGAGGGCTGGGGGGGAGGGGAGAAGTGCATGGTGACGGCAGGAGACCAGACTCGGGACACTGAGCACACAGTGCAATACACAGACGACGCGCTTCAGGCTGGTACCCCTGAAACCTGTAAAATGTTATTAATCAGTGCTACCCCAGTAAATTTAATTGAATTTTAAAAAATAAAATTATATCTGAGTGCCCAATGGATACTTCCCTTTAAAACTACTTCTTTAAAGCACGGTGTCTGGGACCATATTTTACTTAGATACAGTCTAGGGCTATCTCTGTTTACTCATTGCAAATAACTGGGAGAAAATTAATCATACTGAACCTTTCTTAGGGATTCTCCGATGTTCTTGGTATTTATCTGTAGAATGTTTCCAATGATTGGCAGAGGAGTGGGGCCAGGTGGCAGCTTGCCATGGGCAGATCTTCGGTTCCATAGAAAAAGAAAAAGAAAACAACAAAGACAAATCGACAGGACTGTGAGATCCATCGGTGGGCTTTGCATCAGTGCAACTGAAGGTTCATAACCCAAAGATTGTATAAATACTAAATACAAACTGACCTCCCATCATGCACCAAGTCTCTGAACTTTTGGATATTATTTTATCTTCGGTGTACTTTGGCCTGCTGGTAGAGACAAGACAGCAGGAAAAAAACTCACAGATACAGGCGACAGAATTGTGGTTACCAGAGGGGAAGGGGGTGTGGGGAAGATGAAGAAAGTAAAGGGGGTCAAATATATGGTGACGGAAGGAGACCAGGCTTTGGGTGGTGAGCACGCAATACACGGATGTGTTATTTTAAAGTTGTATACCTGAAATTTATACAAGGTTATTAAACAATGTTACCCCAATAAATTTAACCTTTAAAAGCAGTCACCTTAGTATAAAGAAATATCTAAGTTTTAAACTAAGTTTCAGTTGGAAATTCCAACTAAAAAAAAAAACCTCACTTCTTCAGAGATGGCCACAGTTTAATAGTGAAATTGAAAGCTAACAAATTTTCAAAGGGCTAAGCTTCATAAGCTTGACAAATGGTGAAAGAGAAGATCTCATATCAAAATGCATCATCTGTGCAGAAGGAAGAAGCACTCTCTTAGTGCCTGTTCCCAGAAAATGCAGCAAAAGGCCAGAACCAATGTCAGAGGGGAGGCAGGGTAACAAGGAAGGGCTAGGGAGCTCCCCTTAGAGTAGAGATAGCCCCGCTCTCTTGGCAGGGCCCTTCTCTATGTCAGGAGTTCCGACACCACTTATTCTCAAAGGAGATGCCGAGTCAACACAGGTACAACCTCCCTGCCCAGTTAATAGAGGGTAGGGCTGGCATTTGAACCTAGGACATCTGACACATCACATATCCCAATTGTAACTTGAGAAAAGAAGAAATGAGTGCCCATACGACAGCAGCCCAGGGGGGAAGAAATACCCATTTAGGAGCCGTGGGGATGTGATGCAACACAGGACTCCCAGGGCTGCGGTCTCCTGGCAGCCTGCTGCAGGAGGGCAGCCTGGAGGAGTCGGCAGGGGCCCTGAGAGAGACAGCGCCCTCCAGGCGCGCAGCGCAGAAGCAAACCTGCTAAGCAGTTACCTGGTGGGGCGCGAACATCAAACAGACCTCAGTCTGGCCCGGCCGGGGCGTGGCTCAGCAGCAGGTCATCGATCTCGGTTCCATTCTGGGTCAGGGCACATGCCTGGGTTTTGGGCTCAATTCCCAGGAGGGGGCGTGCAGGAGGCAGCCGATCAATGACTCGCATCATTGATGTTTCTATCTCTCTTTTTCCCTCTCCCTTCCTCTCTCTGAAATCAATAAAGATATATTAAAATAAAATAAAAATCCCAGTCTGGAAGACCACCATATCTAGATTCCATAGACAAGAACAATATATTTAGATCAGCAACTAATAAAATTAAAATTCCACTTATACCACATAAAAGATCTGTTTAAAAACAGATTTCTGTAAAACCACTATTACATTTTTAAATAAAGTGCCTAGAGTCTTAAAGTGTTTTAAAAGAAAATAAATTGCTCTCTTTAATTTAAAAAAAAAAAGTCTTTTTATTTGTAGAATTCTGTGAAGTTTATGAAGCACTTTTGTGAATATCTTATTATTTGAATCTCATAATCAACCCACGAGATAGATATTTTTATTCATTTTACAGGTGAGGATAATTAGAATCAGGACTGGAAGCATTTGCCCAAATTTTACCTTCTAAGGCAGGGTAAGAACCCCAGCTCCGGTTTCATAACTCATAAACTCTGCAGTGAAAAATATTTGAATTTAAACATATTTCACAAACACTTGTTGAGTAATTATCATCTATCTTGCAGTCTCACTTCAGCAAATATCTGGTTTAAAATTTACCATGGATAAATAAAAACGAGAGTTAAGAAAAGTTTGTCCCTTTGTAATCTTTAGAATTCCAGGAGACCAGGGTTCAAAGAGTCAAATAACTTGATTTTAAAGAAATACAGTCATTAGCTGTCCAATCCTGCAGCTGACGTACACTGCCTCAGGACATCTCTGGTCCTGGGAGTAGAGGAGATTTTAAAACAGTTTATATATTTTTGTTTTTTAAAAAAATATATCTTTATTGATTTCAGAGAGAGGAAGGGAGAGGGAGAGAGAGAGAGAGAAACATCAATGATGAGAGAACCATTGATCGGCTGCAGCCCGCAACCCGGGCATGTGCCCTGACTGGGAATCGAACCCTGATCGCCTGGATCCTAGGTCGACACTCAACTGCTGAGCCATACCCGGCAGGGCAGTTTATATATTTTTGAAAAATTCTTTCTCTCTCTGTCTCTCTTCAGAGCCATCCCTTGGCCTAAGAAACTTGTGTTTTAGCTCTGTCTATGCAACCTTTCTGGGGGTTCATAAGCTTGACCATTTTTCCCTTCATAGAAGGAAGAAAATGTAGGAATAATTGAGCTGGAACAGATCTTGGAAATCATCTATTGAGATTCCTTAGTTCCTTATCTGAAGAGCAATGCAATAATGGCTCAGAGAGGCAAAGAGCTTTGCATCTAGTCACACAGCGGGTTAATATCAGAGGGGCTAGTTGAAGGGCCTTTGTTTCCTTCAATATAAGATTTTTAAAATCACCTGGATCTAAAGAAATTTTAAACATAATATTGAGTGTAGAAGACATTTACTTTAAAATTTTAATTCTCTTCTGCACAAACATGAGCTGTCTTCAAGATTATGAAAGTTTGTGATAACCTGTCTTAACCTCGATGGTAGGGACATCAGAGGTTAGGAAGCAGCATTTTAAAAATCTTTTTTTACCTGAAACCCTCAATTGGAGCTCAAAAAGAAACTGGACTGTTAATCCAAGACACATAGTCTCTTTTCCCTTGCTCTTATTGACCATCAAAATCCTTAACAAAAATATATGGAAATATATGGGAAAGAATCTACTTTCTAGGCATGCTGTCCAGGATTCTGATTTGTGAGTAGGTAGAGGACAGGCAGAAGTGCATGTTAAAAATCACCTTACGCCCCATGCCAGCGTTGTTCAAGAGGGAACTTCCAGCTAGAGGGTTCCCCTCACCAGGAGAGGAAGAGAGGAGTGAGCACCTGGCTTCTCCATCCTTTCAGATCATTGCATGAAAGGTCCTGCTTCAGGCTCAGCCCACCCAGACCAGCAAAGCTGAGATGCATGAGATGGCTAAGAGCCAGGAAGAAAAGCAGGGGCCACTAACAGCAGCCACCATCGGGAGTGGTCGCAGTTCACAGTGACCTGCTCAGCAAACAGACCCAGGAGATTTCACCGCTGCCAAAAACAACATAGCCAGCTCAGCTACTTTGGACCCTCTGCAGATTACACCAGCTTTTGCTCCACAGGTATTCACATTCACTGATGCCAGCCGCTGGAGTCTCTCCCCATTTCCTGCCCCCACCCCACCTGGAATCTGAAAACCACACCAGAAGCCAGCTCAGGCCTCTCAGCTGTGTGAAAGCAAGAGGCCAGCCCAAGACCCCCACCCCCACCCAGCTAACCCCCGCTGCAGGGTGCATACTTGGAGCTAGAGTCTCCAGCTGAGCTCCTACTGTCCCTAGCCGGACTCCCACCACTGGCCTCCCCTGGGGGCAGAGTGTGCAGCCTTGAGAGAGCTGTTTGCAAAGCCTGCAGGTAATTAAGCATTGATATAAAAAGAACAGGGGAAACCCTTTTATATATTGAGAAGTTGAAATAATTGAGTGTAGGTCCCAGGAGAAGAACAAAGAGAGAGAGAGAGAACGGAGCCAGATACCTGAAAGATGTCAAGTCAGAAAGAAAAAGTCCATATTGCTCTAGAAGAAAAACTAAGAAAAATGAGTAGAAATTACTAAAAGCAAGTTTATTTCCATCTTTTTATTTAAAAAAGTAAAATAAGATATTTTGTTTGTTTTCTTTTCAAACTACAAAAATAGGTAAGGAAAGGGGGAGGAAGAAAACGTCTTGTTTTCTTGTTTCAATGGAGCAAAAAAAGCAAACGGAATTTCTAGGCCAGGGATCCACTCAGGCCCCCGTTTCTGCGCTCCGTCTCGCAGGAATGGGAAAGCGCGCCACCTCGTGGAACTTCAGGGTATTGCCATGGCCGAAACGCAACGGGGTTGGTGTATGTTTTAAAATTCGACCGTAATTCAGCTCAACTCCTTTACCTTATAGATGAATATATAAGGAATAAGAAAGTTTCTTTTGGAGATGTGCACCTATAAAGTAAGAGTATTATGGTAGTCAGGCTAAAACTGACTTTCACTCCATCTCTTCACTCACTTAGACTGAAGAATGAGTGAAAAAAAGAAAAAAGAGAGTGAAGGGACAATTTGGAAAGCAAACAACGATCAGAGCCGTTGTGTGAGTGAGTCCAGGCCCTTGCCTGGGCAAGCACAATATACAAGTCATGACCACCAGACTTTTAATCCATCATCCAAGATGAATTTGTTTTAAGATAAGCAATCCTGCCCGGCCGGGCGTGGCTCAGCGGTTGAGCGTCGGCCTAGGATCCAGGAGATCGTGGTTCGATTCCTGGTCAAGGCACATGCTTGGGTTTCAGGCTGGATCCCCAGCAGGGGGTGTGCAAGAAGCAACCGATCAATAACTCTCTCATCACTGATGTTTCTATCTCTCCCTTCCTCTCTCTGAAATTGATAAAAATATATTAAAAAAAGAAAGAAAAGATAAACAGTCTTGAGGCTGGAACCAAATTATTGACAGTGAGCAAAGAGGGAGCAGTGATGGTAAAATAGACACATTTATACCCTGGCATTTGTGTATACTCCAGAATTGTTCTGTGGTATATCTTTCCTTAAAATGTAGCGCATCCCAAAAAAATGTATACACACACTTTGAGTAATTATAAAGGCAGCTTTTATTTCCTTTTCAAAATTGAGCTACCAGCTGTTAAAGTGTATATACACTTTTGGGGAACACCCTGTATATACAAAAAATAATTAGTGAGCAATTAAAGAAACAGGCTGCTGATTCAGTGCAACAAGTGTCTTCTGCCAAAGACTTTGGCAATTCAGTTCCTTGTTGGTCTAATCCCACTGGTCAGAAATGCTTTATTTCTTTCTAAATTGATTCAACACCATAGTGTCGAGAGAATATTTAGAGGAAGGGAGGAGGGAAGTCTAGCATAACCCAACTACTCGAACAAATACTCTGGAAGCCCTCAGTGCTTGGCGACAGGCATTCTTCCACAGAGCAGGGTCCACGGGGCTCTTCACAACTTACAGCACATGTGCGTTCATATTTTACACATTCTTTCTAATTCTCATTTGCACAGAGTCCCTGGTCCTAACCTGTGAAACTGCCAATTAGTAGGCTTTGTGATCCTCACCAAATAATACAACAGGTATGAATGTATTTTGTAATCTGTTAAGCGCCCATCAGTGTCAGGGAGCTTTATGCCCAATGTATTTTTCAGAGGCTGTCCTTTCCTTTGGGGTGGGGGTGGGGAGCAGGTGAGAGAGCCAACTTTAGCGCATGCCCAGGGTCAGGGGAGAGGCCTCAGCACTGCTTTTGAGCAAGAAGGCAACACTAGCCCTCAACAGAGAGGAGCAGGTACTTTTGCGGGCTCCGACGTTTCAGGGAACTGTGGAGGTCAAGAGTTTCTGAGGCACTGACCCAGCTGTTCCCAGCCCACATATTCCCAAATCGAGCCCTGGCCTTGGCATAGCAGAACCGTTGAGGCTGAGAGTTTCACCATTTTTAGAAGTCTGCTATTCTTATGAGTAATTCCTTGGCTTAAAGCTGGAATTAAGCTTTAAATTCTGCCTTCTTTATATTCTACTCGGATGGACCTCTATCCTTCACTTGTAGCTTTTGATAGTTTTCACCGTTTCTCACATTCTTCCCAAAATATCAGTCAAGCTTAGCAACCAGCATTTAATTCACTGTCCTTACAATTACTGTCAGGGAAATGGGCAGCCCAGCCTCCTGGGCCCAGATCACCTCCTGCCTCTCAGCCTCACGTTTTTTCAGAAGCTGCCACCCCCTAGGGAAGAGGGACAGTGTGCCCAGGAACCAAAGAGCAAATACTAGAGGTGGTGCAATTTATCCATGCAGACAGGCAGGTTTAAATGTAAACGAGTTGTCATTTATGAGTAACACACAACATGCCATCCAGCCTGCCAGGCTGCCTCCCAGGTGTAAGGATGCACGCAGTGCCTTCCAACAGTTTCTCAGTGAGAATCTAACCACCCTGTCCTGAGGGCTGAAGCCACGGTTACCCACGCAAATGAATTACACTGATTATGTTTACTCACTCATTTCCCACCCATGTGTAGTTATTTCACATTAAAAAGAAAATTCAGGTATGTTCCCATGAAACCCAACGGACTTTGGAGACTCAGGCTGCAGACCCATGTGACATGCAGGGTGACTCTGGCCCAAAGAGCAGCTGGGACAAAGGTGAGAAGGTCAAGGATAATGGAAAACAATCCACTCCGTGGCTGCAACCCTGACGACGTCAAGAGGGCGGGGAAGGGCCAGTTGGAAGACCTTGTGTCTACCTTGGGTGGGATCAGGGGCGAGAGGAGATTGACCGGGAACGGACATAAAGATCATTATGGGGCAACGGAAATGTTCTGTCTTGATTGAGGTGTGCACAGTAATCAAAACTTCAAGGAAAAGACCTATGAATTTTATTGTACATAATTATACCTGAGTTAAAAAGTATATTGGGGTATATATTCCCTAATGGTCAGCCCAACAGCAATATTGTAGCCTCATTACCCCTGAGCTGTGGCTAAGTTAGTGTTCTAAACAACTTGCCTCCAAAATGTAAGGCCCAGACCGGAGCATCAGCATCACTTGGGAGCCAGCTGGAAACTCAGAGCCTCAGCCTCACTTAGACCTGATGATGAATCCGAACCTGCAGCTAAACAGAATACACAGGTGAGTCCCATGCACATTAAAATGTAAGAAACACACTTCCAGAGGGCTTGGAAAACTTAGAAACAGATGAAATTTAACCTACCAAAAAAAAAAAAAAACCAGAGCTTTAATATGAAGTAATTTCTCACCCGAAGGTACTGTTCTGGGTTTTGTAGATTAGAACTGCTCATGTCTACATGGCATGTTCTTGTCCCAGAGACCTGCGGGATGGAATCCTAGCTCTGCTAACTAGGCCCTTACTATGACAGTAAGCACTGCCAAGTTATCCTTCATCAAGAAAGGGCATAAGCTATGACCCGCGGTGGTGACCACTGCTTAATGACAGATGATTTGCTCTTGTAGATGAAGGAAGGTTGGCTGGACTGTCCTGTCCACCTCTCTTAACAAATTGCTTAGTCCATCTCTGGAGGGATGGGGGTGCCACTGTCTGAGAAATAAACTCCATGAGGGGTTAGTCACCAGAAGATGATCTATGGTGACCTTAGCTCTCTGACTCAAAACCCCCTAACAGCTAGGGTCTCTTCTGTGAGGACGCACTTGGCATTTTCCTGAGCAATCTGCAGGCATAGTGCTGCTGGCCATGTTCCTGGTCTGCTTCCCTTCACAAAGAAGAGGGGCTGTGATGGCAGCAACCAGCCTGGAAAGGGGCTTATTAGGGAGTATTTCAAGGCCAACTGGTAAAGCTCCCCGCCTAGTATTTGGAAAGCACTCATTTCCTCAGATAAACCCCGGAATGGCCACACGGAAAGAAAACATCATTTCATTACAATACAACCAAGGATCTTCTATTAGCACCAACAATAGAAAGCTAATTTGGAGCAAGCTTCAAAGATCTATAAGAGCATGGCTTTTTCAGATGCCAGGTTTCTCACGCCTGGAGGAAAAGCCTGACAATCTCAGAGATGTGGGGAACTCAAACCAAGATCGACCTATGATCCAGGTGACTGCGGTTTGATTCCTGGTCAGGGCACATGCCTGGGGTGCAGGCTCGATCCCCAGTAAGGGGCATGTAGGAGGCAGCTGATCAATGACTCTCTCATCACTGATGTTTCTATCTCTCTCTCTCCCCCGCTCCCTTCTTCTCTCTGAAATCAATAAAGACATTAAAAAAAAAAAAGGAAAACTAAATTGCATCTGGCTTGAGAGGGGAGCTAGGGCACATAGTCAAATGATAAAGGACACCACACTGCCTTACAGTCTTTAAATTTATTGAGTAAAAACAAAATCAATGGCAGACACATTAAATTCAGTTTGGTTCAAATTTGGCTGATGTCCGTTTGCAGCAGAGAGGAACTGAGGTGAAGAGAAGACAGAGAGATGTCAGCAGGGGGACACTGAGCAGAGCCATCTTCCTCCTGTTATAAAAGCAGGCATCACGCAGCAGTGGAGTCAGTTAGCAAAGGCAGGGGCCGCAACGTTTACTGAGCAGGAATCAAACCGAAGGAAGCAGGAGCTTCCAAGACGGGAGAGGGCCAGGCGTTGAGAGACGGGTGGCAACAAGAACAGTGTTCGGCGAGGATCTGCCGGTTCACTTGGGGAACACAGTGACCACGTCGTAGCCTTCGGGTGGGGTGACCCGCTCTCGGGCATGCTTTTCACAGTAGATCTGATCTTCCACAAAGAAATGGCCCTTCTGTTTCAGGTTTGTGCCACAGTCGGTGCACACGTAACACTCGGGGTGGCGGTGATGGTCCCGCAGCTTCACGAACACGCCGCTGCAGGAAGGAGGGGAAAGTGGCTCCGTTAGTCACGAGCACACGAAGGTGGCGCCTGGGCCAGGGGCTCCTCCCCAGAGGCCCATCAAAAGGCAGATGAGGGCCTCCCAACTGGCCTCCACTGATAAGGGGGCCTCCCATTCCTGGGGTCCAGAGACATTCCTCTTGAAACCTTCCAGAAGTCTCTCCCACTTCAGCAGAGTGGCCCTGCTTCTTCTGGTTTGGTTTTACGTGTTCAAACCCTAAGGGTTCCATGGCCAAGGAAAACCTTCACCACCTGGCTCTGGAACACGGAACCTACCTGGCCTCTCTGCTCCCTTTTCCAGGTAGGGTTTTTTTCCCATCACACTCGAAATGTGCAACATTCAGCACTTTCCATATTTTCATGGTTTACTCAACATGCAGGGCCCCCATTGCCTGGGGAAGGCAGATACTCACACAATGCCGGTGCCACATTTGTCACACATGGGCAACTTCTGGGCATTTCCAATCGATGCAGCCACTTTGGTGACCGGAGCCTTAACACTTCTGAATCCCGAGGGCTTGTTGAGATCCCCTAAAATGAGGAAAACACTTGGGTTGGTCAGGAAGGGCAGGGTTGCAGGACTGCGTAAGTATCATTCATTCTTTCAGAGACATTTATATGTATGTTCCTGCAAGGTCGTGGGCAATGGAGTCAAACAGACCCTACTCTGCTGTGTAATCCTGGGCAAGTTACTTAACTTCTCTGGTTCCCAGTTCTTTTTCTATAAAAGAGATCACTTTTTTCTTCCCTTCACAGTGGCATAAAAAGATAGCCCCCCCCTCCCCACAGTACCTGGAAAGTGGTCAGCCCTCAAAACACACATTACATTCTGATTAAATACATGCAAACAGTGATAAGGGAACTTAAAAAGGCCTTAGATAGAAAAATAAATAAAAACATTACCTGATCACTGAAAGACTGTATTAGATGCGGAAAGAAATTCAATTCACAAAACAAAATCACTACAGTACAGCTCAATACAAGCAGTCAGAGGAAAATCACCTGCCACCGAGCACAGTAAGCCGCCTTCTGGAAGTCAGCTTTGTGCTGATAAAACAAGCTCCTAGTTGCTGGGAGGTGAATGGAGCACAGCCCAGTTTATCACGTCTTCAGAGCCCTTTGTTGTGGCAGCTATTAATAATGGTAAGCTCCCAAGTTTACTATTACTGCTATATATTTGGCTGGTTTTGTTCCCACATCACTTATTTCTTTACTATGATGTGCCCTAGTTGCCTTATGTTTATCGGCTACACACACATCTGTCCGGACTGCAAATTAATAGAGCACCAGAGCTCTGTTTTAAATACTTTTCAATATTCCACAGAGCTTAGCATGAGGCTTAGCAAATAACAGAGGCTCAGTAAATACCTGGAAATGATTGATGAAATGTCATGACAAATGTATGACAGTGCCTACCGTGGTCCAACATGCTTTGGCCCAAGAAGCTACAGAAGGCTCTATAATGGTGGTTCCGAATAGGCACCAGGAGAGATTTCACAAAATTCCCAGACCAGGCTCTACTCCAGGCCTGCTGAGTGAGCACCTGCGGGTGCAGGGGCCCCAGGAGATCCTGTCCTATACCCCTGGTTAAAACCCACTTCTTTAGACTAAAACAAATGTTCTCAAACTTTACTGTATATCAGAATCGCCAGGAGGGCTTACTAAAATACAGATGCCTGGGCTCACCCCAGTTTCTGATTCAGCAGGCCTGCAGTAGGGCCCAAGAATATGCATTTCACCCAGCCAGTGTTGCTCAGTGGTTGAGTGAAGACCCATGAACCAAGAGGTCATTGGTTCAATTCCCGGTCAGGGCGCATGCCTGGATTTCAGCCTCAATCTCCAGAAGGAGGCATGCAGGAGGCAGCTGATGAATAATTCTCTCTCATCACTGATGTTCTACCTCTCTCCCCCTCTCCCTTCCTCTCTCTGAAATCAATAAAAACATATTATTAAAAAAAAAAAAAGGAAACTCAAAATTGGGCACAGCAGGAGCAGCTGGAGAAAGCCATCCTGGCTACAGCTTGTTCAGCCCTGCAGCGCCACTTGCTGGCATGATTTTCTTCTCTCCCTCACTCAGCCAACACTGCAAACTCAAAAGAAATTTTATTTTACTGCCCTCTAAAATAACACAGTAAAAATACCAGCTCCCTTAGGACTCTGGGGAACTACAAAAATTTCCAATTTTTCCTTCTTCCAGTGAACCTTGCATCTCAAAGCTTTCTGGAGAAAAAGTAAAAGTGAGTCAAGCACAGCTTTCTGTCACTTCACTGCTCAACAACCTTCCACGGCTGCACATGGTCTATACAATCAAATTCATGGTCCCTAACCTAGCACCTGGTGTTCCCCCAGGATCTGAGGCCAGACCACCCGAGGATTCTCCTGGAACCCCAGGCATCAGCCATAACGAGCCTCGATACTTAATGAGCGAGTCTAGGTTTCTTAGCTCAGAGCCTCTGTGATTTTTCTGTGGGTTCTCTGCCCATGGTGTCTCCTTCCAAGTTTCCTCTCATTAAAAGTCTCCTTCAGTGGACAAATGAGTGGATAAAAAAGATGAGGTATATACATATCACATGTTCAGCCTTAGAAAGGACCCTCTGACACATGCTGCAACACGAATGAACCTTGAGGACATTATGCTGAGTGAAATTAGCCTGTCACAGAATGACAAATACGGTTCCATTCATACGAAGCTGCTGACGTAATCATATTCTAGCAAACAGAAAGCAGAATGGTGGTTTCCAGGAGCTGGGGCGCGGGCAAGGAGGAGGTAGTGTTTTGTGGGTGCAGTTTCCGTTTTGCAAGGTGAGGAGTTCTGTGATGAATGGGGGTGACTGTAGCACAGCAATACGAATGTACTTAATGCCTCTGGACTGTATACTTCAAAATGAGAAGAGCCACACAGAGTCCTTGGAGATTATCACCAAACCCTGCTGCAAAGCCTCAGGGGCCTCGCTGTGAACCAGGCACCTGGCCCACCTGCCGTTTCCCTTGATGCTTTAAACCGCCCGTGACACGGCCATCAGCAGCTTCCCTGGATGTGTGTGGAAACAGGGCTTGGAGGGACGAGCAACTTGCTCGAGGTCTCATGGAGGGTCACAGGCGGGTCCTGGGTGCCAGTGTCTTTCCTACCAGGCAGTGCTGCTTTACGAACCAGAGCCCTCCTCGGAGGACAGTAGCCCTCACTGGGTGTTTACGGTGTAGCGGACGCTGTGCCTGAGCTTCGGCCACCTCATCTCAAATGAAGCCAGGCCCCTGTGCCCCGCTCCTTCCTCTGAGTGCCTTCTGCGGGTGGGGGGTGTTTAGGTTGGAATATATACTGTTTCATTCAGTAAAAATTTAATGCAAGGACATATTAAGGGATAAGGGAGAGACTATAAGATCCCATATCTGCCCTGGCAGGGTGGCTCAGTTGGTTGGAGCGTCCCATGCACCAAAAGGTGGCGGGTTCGATTCCCAGTCAGGGCACATACAGATTTCGGATTCGCTACCCGGTCGGGGCATATGTGGCAGGCAACAGATGATGTTTCTCTCTCTCTCTCCTTTCCCCTTCTAAAATCAATAAAAAATAAATTTAAAAAAAATCCATTATCTCCCTCTTGTTTTTTTAGCAAAATTTTTATTTCCTTTGGGGCAAGAAGATATTCAGCCCAGGGGGGAAAACCATCATTCTCAGACTCTCTTGGAACTAGATGTAACCATGTGATTCATTCTGGTCAAAATGTAAATGGAATAATAATGTGGGACTTCTGGGAATGAGAAAGCTGGCTCATCTGGAAGGGGGACTCCCCAATTAGCCATCCCCCCCACTTCTTCCTTCCTGGTGCCTGGAAGGGGGCATGCAGGCTAGAGCACCAGCTGCCAACAAGGACCATGAGGTAACCTTGAGAACAAAAGCCACAGGCCTTGTAGATGGAGCACAGGGTGGCAGGAGTCCAGCTCTCAATGAGCAGGGTGCTGCCACCTCAGGGCAGCTCAGTGATCCTGGACTTCAGGCCCTTTTCTCTGACACGCGGGCATGCGACTCGATGAGCTCTGTGGTATCTGTCGAGGTCCTAGTTTGGGCTGGAATGGCTGACTTTTTCTCTCTTAATTGAAGGGTTCTTCACTTACCCAGAACAAGATGTGGTTTCTCACATGTTTTGATAAAATTGTCATCCTCCAGGGCTGGCCCCCCAAGTCATTTGCCACATGGGCCTGATAGTGGGACTTAATACAGAGTTGGGTTCATTACTTCCCAGCTCCACAGGTACTCCAAGCAAAAGGGGAAATTACTGGTAAAACAATATCCTTTTAGCATAAAAGAACTTTTTTCCTAATTTCCTGTGCTTGTAAATTGCTAATTTCTCTAAAGAACCCACCCAAATTGGGAGGAAGCCTGGGTGTTGGGGGTGTTTAGTAGGGAACTTTCAGCTCAGGAAGGACTCCCAGCAGGAGGGGGGTTACTCTTCCAGGGGACACTCTGCTCTGATCCTCACTGGCTGCCTTGAGCAAACATGTCAACTCCTCTGGAGCCAGGCTGAAGCAGGTCTCCTAGGGAAGCACCAGGTGTCCTTCCCAGGAGCACCGACAATCTCACAGGCAGGACACTGGAGAGAGGAGAAGTGAGAGGTGGAAAGCAGGACTCCTGTGAGGTACCTATCTCAGAGAATGGGACAACGGCAGAGTCTGCAGGCCTGGGCTTCAGAGGCCAAGAAGGGGAGCAAATCCCAACTCTGCAGAGAAGGCATTCCTAGCTAGGCCACTCACGAGAATCGAAAGGCCTTAGGAATAACCATCTGGGAGTTGGGGAGCCTGAGGGTTACTCCTCGTAGGTCTCCTTTGTGAGAATGGAAAAAAGCATCCCCCTTTTTCAACATGCCCACCAACCAACAGTTTCTCACAATATACTGTGGACGTTCAATTAAGATAATTTTACTGCTCACCACTTGAAAATTATAATAATAAATGCACAGTAAGTGATGTATACAATGCGAGGACTATCTCCTGAGACTGCAGAGCCACACAAGTGGCCCTCAGTGCCTCGGGCACGAGCTCACACCCTGGACAAGCGAAGGCTGGCCTGGAGCCTCTGGATGGGGTTTCAAACCTCATAATAGTTATGAAGCACCTACTATGTGCTAGTCACGGCGATGGGCATTTGCTGCAGTTTAAAACATTGGACCCTCACACCAATCTGAGAGGGAAGGATTTGGATCCCTGATTGGCAGATGAGAAAACAGGCCTGGAAAGGCTCAGAGACTTTAGGAAGGTCACATGGGGAGGGTGTGGCTCTCAGGAGGCGAACAGCCCTAGAGCAAGAACAAAGGCAGACCCGGAAGAGAAAGCCCAGCGCCTGGCTTCACTGTGCCACTGATTCATTTACATTCTGCTTGTCATCATCGTGGTCTTCACCCACTCACACATGTCAACCGCCACAGAAGTGTGGCAATGTGGGCGCAAACCACACAAAGGCCAAGGCACAGACCAACAGAGTCGCACAACGGTCAAGCTCACCGCGATCTCAGATCTCGGCCTCCCAAGGCTCCTGTGGCCGGAAGCAGCTGGGCCAGGTGTGGTGCGAGCTCACTCCTACCCATTCTCACTCTCTTTCCCTCTCCCAGCTTTTAGCAATTTAAAAGCCAAGCCTTCTGCAGTGGGGGGTGGGGGTGGGGCTGTAGTGACCTTTGTTTCAATAATGATTGACCCTCACCAAGGGCCTGGAACAAGAGCCTCTCGCCACCCACACAGCTGATTACCTTTCTCCTCAGATTCCAGGATTTCCTGCAACACCAGAAATGAAGTGGACTGTTTCGGGGGCTCATTTAACTCCTGTTTCTCCTGAAGCATCTTGTAAACTTCGGATTCTTTGCTGATGACGAGTCCACTTGGAGACTGAGAAGGCTCTAAGCTGTAAAGAAAGTTTGGAAATTCATTAAGACATGTGAGAAGTTAAAAACCAACTACACCTCCCCAGGCATCCCCTTCCAAAGAAGGACACCCCTGAACCACAGGGAGGGTGGACATGATCCTGAAGGAGGAAGCCCTCTCTGGACTCTGCCACAGCCCTCCTGCCAATACTGTGAGGTGCCGGAGCCAGCGCTGGCTGATGCTTCACTGCAGTCAGAAGCTATTTTTCAAAACAGTTTTAGTCACTCAATTACTTTTTGGCCTAATCCCATGGAATGGGAATGCTTTGCTTCTTTCTAAATTACATAAACAACATCATGCCCCAAAAAAATTTAGAAACAGGAAAAAACGTCAACCATGACCTGACCACTAAAACCCCAGCGGGGTCCCCTCAGTACATGCCACGTGTGTTCCCTTCACAGAGCAGGGATTGCAGTGCCCTTGATTCCTGAGGACACCGGACTCATGCAAGGACCTCTGGTCTCCTCGCCCACAACACAGGATGACAGCATCTGCCCTGCCCGTTCCACAGGGCTGGCTGGCAGTGAGGACGAAAAATGCAAGTGCTTTGTAAAGTTCCGTTCCGCTGCAAAGAGGGGGCAGAGGCCTCAGCGCAGGCCCAGGAACTGAGCAGGCCAGGCCTTGCCTGTCCCACGCCTTCCGCGTCTCCTGGGTTGCCCAGACAGGATGAGACGGGCAGAGCCGGGGGCTCCTACCCCCAGGGTCCATTTTCCAGGGAAGAAGCCTTGGAGGAATGACAGAGAGAGAGACTCCAGTCCCTTCTGGGCGTCATCAGCAACCCCACCTCCACCAAGTGTCAAAGCCACGCCTACGTGTAGCAACACAACTGACCTGCTCTGCACCTTGTCCCTAGTCTTGTGTCCAACCAGAAGCCACAGTGGTATTTTAAACACATTAATCAGACTGTTGAAATGTAGCTCAAAGTGTTCTCATCCGACTTAGAACCAAATATTTACAGTTTTAATAACAAAATACAAGTTTAATCAAATTCATCTCCTTTGGAGTAAATATTCATTACAAAGTAGAAAGGCCCTACACCATGTGGCTCTGTTTTCTGCTCTAAACACATTGCCGGCCACCCCTGGCTCACCCGGCTCTAGTCAGACCGGCTTCAGGCTGCTTCTGGAACCCAGAGCCTCAGAGCCTTTGCACTCACTGCTCCCTCAGCTCCCACACTTCATTCAGGTCTCTGCTCAGATGTCGCTCTGCATAGAGGGCTCCCTGACCCTCCACTTACAACAGCCCATCCACCCCATCACTCTACTCCTCTACTCATCTGCATCTTTCTCCATGTTTTCTCCTCTCTCCCCATGGATTATACTTGCAGTTGTCTGTCCCCCGCCCCAGAAAGTCTGTTCACCACCATGTTCCCAGCTCTGGATCAGTGCCTGGCACAGCATCAGGGCCCAGCAGGTTTGAGAGAAGTGAATCAAAATTGCCAAGTGGATCCAAGTCCCTCTCTCCTTGCTGTGCCCTCTTCCTGCTTCTGTGGGGTCACAGGGGGTCCTGTAGGGCAGTGCAATCTCCCAGAACTGTGCCAGGGAAATGGGCAGCCCAGACTCCTGGGCCCAGATCACCTCCTGCCTCTGAGCCTCACATGCTTTTTCAGAAGCCACCACCCCCTAAGGAAGAGGGACAATGTGCCCAGAAGCCAAAGAGCAAATACCAGAAGGTGGTGCAATTTATCCACGCAGACAGGTAGGTTTGTATGCAAATGAGCTGTCATTTTTGGATAATAAACTACAAGCCACGCAGCCCTCCAGGCTGCCTCCCAGGTGTAAGGATGCAGGCAGTGCCTTCCAACAGTTTCTCAGTGAGAATCTAACCACCTTGTCCTGAGGGCTGGAGCCACGGTTACCCACGCAAATGAATTACACTGATTATGCTTACTCACTCATTTCCCACCCATGTGTAGTTATTTCACATTCCACTTAAAAAGAAAACTGAGGTATAGGCTTCCCCTGTGTAATTCTCCCATTACCTCTTCCTCTCCCTCTCTCAGTCAGCCTCCTAGGGCACCTGATATACTCAAGTTCGCAGCATCACCTGCATCACTGGAGCTCCAGGTTTTCCCTTTGCATACAGTCAGGTTCTCCTGATAAGAGGACCAAGCCCTCAAGGAGTGACATACGCTTCCCCGCTGCCAGGCAAGGCCAAAATTTAAGAAAAGACTCATCAGCTGGTCACTCATGCTGGCGGCAACAGTCCCTGCCTTCCCCGGCCCCTCCCACCCACAGGGAGCTGTGGGAGCCTCCCGGGCAGGCGATGGGCCACCTTGAAGAGTAGCTTTAACCAGGAGCCACGCCTTCCTCTGGCCCACCTACTTGGCCCCGTCGCTTGAGTTCTATGTCTCACTCTTTCTTTGGGTCTTGAGTTCTGAGCTTGCCCTATAATAAATGTGTTACATTACTTTTGATGAATCTTTTTTCTATTAAACTTAGAACTATTTTAAAATCAAGATCAGACCATGGAATGTGCTTGGGGAGAATTTTTCCCCTTCTTGGGTGTATGTTGTTATGTCTGGAAGCCGCTGAGGGACGGCTAAAAACGAAGGAGCCCAAACCACAAGCTCATCACATATTCTCCCAGCAAACAGTCTTGCAAAGTATTTCCATGATTTTAAAAAAGGAAAACAGCCAGGCCGGTGTGGCTCAGCGGTTGAGCATTGACCTATGATCCAGGAGATTGTGGTCTGATTCCTGGTCAGGGCACATGCCTGGGTTGGGGGCTTGATCCCCAGTATGGGGCGTGCAGGAGGCAGCCAGTCAATGACTCTCTCATCATTGATGTTTCTCTCTCTCCCTCTCCCTTCCTCTCTCTGGAATTAATAAAAACATATTTTTTAAAAAAAGGAAAACAATTTCCCATTTTCTCAAATAATGGTAATATCTTTCTACCACTTGACAACTTATAAAGCACTTCCAATATCCATTACTTTATTTGAAGCACTTATATACACCTAATTGAGAAACAATATCCTAAGACACAAAGTCTAAGTCTTAGACACCAGACACTAAGATATTCGTAAATGATACCACAATATGTTAAAAAAATAATTCTAGGACAAAAATACGCATTAAAAATGGAGCAAAAAAAAAAAAAGCACTGTCATTTTCATATATAGTAACAGCAACAAAGGAAAGAATTCTACAGCGATAAGCTTTCAAAAAATGTAATATGCATGACTGAGTCACCAGGAGGAAAACTTGTGAGGGTGGGATGCCGAGTCCCTACGTTCTTCTAAACCCATTCTTTACAATTGTGGTAACAGAATACAACAGTTTAATCAAATTCAACTCCTTTGGAGTAAACTGTACATTACACTCTTTGTGTTTCCTAGCTCTAGTTTCTTCCTGAGTCACACTTGGTGCTGAATATACACCAGTTACCTGAATGTTTAATATTTTTTCCTACTCTTTTAGGCCTGTCTCCCCAGGGATATTGCAGACAGGCCACTCCCAGCCTGTGGAGGTGGCTGACATAGCCAGGCATTTAAGGATGCCAGTGATCTTTAGAACTTAAGAAGAAACTCCCTTTGACCTGGTCTTCCAGGGGAGGATTTCGGAGGCTGAGCCTGCAGACCTTATGTGACACACAGGCCTGCTCCAGCCAAAGGAGCAGCCAGGGTGAAGGTGAGAATGTCGAAGAGAACAGAGAGCACACCCATGGGAGCTGGATCAGCACAGCAAAGGCACAAATAAATGGAAAGACATCCATATTCATGGATAGAAAAAAATTAATGTTGTTAGAAAGTAGAACGGTGGTTGCCAGAGGCTGGGGGTAGGGCAAAAGAGGGAGTTATTCAACAGGTACAGAGTTCTACTTTTGTAAGATGAATACGTTCTGTCACACAGCAATGTGCATATCATTACCACTATTGTACTGTACACTTGCCAGTGTGGCTTGGTTGGCTGAGTGTCGTCCCAGGCACTAAGAGGTCACCGGTTTGATTCCAGGTCAGGGCACATACCTGGGTTGCAGGCTTGATCCCCAGTAAGGGGCATATAAGAGGCAGCCAATGGATACTTCTCTTCCTCTCCCTTCCTCTCTCCAAAATCAATAAAAACATATTTAAAAAACAACAAATATGGTTAAGATGATATATTTTATGATATGTATTTTTACCACAAAAGAGAACTCTTTAGAACATAAAAAAGGAACTGATATACACTTCAAAAAACCCTCAGTAAATCAAATAAATCTCCAGTGAATTATGCTGAGTAAAAAAAAGCCAATCTCCACCCGGTCAGAGTGGCTCAGTGGTTGAGCATCGACCTATGATCCAGGAGATCTCGGATCGATTCCTGGTCAGGGATCATGCCTGGGTTGCGGGCTCGATCCCCGTAGGGGTGTACAGGAGGCAGCCGATCAATGACTCTCTCATCATTGATGTTTCTATCTCTCTCTCTCCCTTCCTCTTTGAAATCAATAAAGACATATTTAAAAAAAAAAAAAAAGCCAATCCCTGAAACTTACATACTATATGATTCCATCAATGTAACATTCTTGAGGTAACAAAATTATAGAAATGGAGAGCAGATCAGTGGGTTGCCGTGGTTTAGGAGGGTGTAGGAATAGGAGGGAAATGGGTGTGGCTGTAAAAGAGCAAGCTGAGGAATCCTTGTGGTGATGGACATGTTCTATCTTGACTGTATGCACGTCAATATCCTAGTTTTGATGTTGTGCTGTAGTTTTCAAGATGCTACTATGGAGGAGAACTGGGTAAAGGGTAGAGAGGACCTCCTTATCATTGCCCGTAATTGCAAGTGAATCTACAATTACTTCAAAATAAAAAGTTTAACTCATTTTAAGAATCCTTTCTCCAAATGATGGAGGTTAGGTGCTAAATGGAAATGAAGTAGAGGAGATTTTCGTACCTGATTTTCACACAGGTGCAGGGAAAGGAGGTGCGCTGACTCAGACAAACCGTCACGTCTGAGATGCCCCAACCGGGTTACCCAGTGTTCACAGAAAATGCAATTCCGAGTAATCCTACATAATCGTGTTTAGAAGGGGAGCCTGGCCAGAATGCTCCCTAAGTTTTAGTCTTCAAAGGCCTAGATGTTGGGCCTGTAATAAGAAACCAGAGCAGTAATTATGGGCCCCAGGAGAAGAGGGAGGAACACCCAGACTCCAAAGCCAATTCTCTGCGGGCTGTGGGCAAGTTTAGCTGGAGGGGCCAACAGCCACCTCGTGACAGAGGCTTTCTTCTGATCCAGCTCCAAATGAGTCAAGCCTAACATACTCCCTCGTATCATTTGAGTAGAACAACGCATCTTATTATTTCCTCTGCACCTGCTTAGAAATCTGCCTCATGAGTATATGGGTGGGTTGCCTGAAAACACAATTTGGAACTAGTATCTTGGGACTGTTGTGTTGGTTATGGGAACCCAACTGAATATTCCACAAGAGGCCACCGCTACATCAGAAAGGTGACTAATGGCATTGGTGGCTGAACTTAAGCTAAAATGCTGGGAAAGAAAGCAGCCTACCGTAAGTCACAGCAAAACGTTCTCCTTGACATTAGTTTACACACTTCTGCTCTTCTGGGGGAAGCCCCTGGTGCTCAGAGTGATGGATGTGGAGCACCTCATGAGCAGTGAAATCAGTAATAACTGAGCACCTACCAGGGGCCAGGCACCAATGCGAGTGCTTTTTATTTATTTATTTTAAATATTTTTTTAAAATGTGTGTTTATTGATTTTAGAGAGAGAGGAAGGGAGAGGGAGAGAGAGAAACATGGATGGGCTGCCTCCTGCATGCCCCCCACTGGGGATCGAGCCCGAAGCCCAGGCATGTGCCCTCACTGGGAATCAAACCAGCAACCTTTAGGTGCATGGGATGACACTCAACCAACTGAGCCACACCAGCCAGGGCTGTGAGTGCTTTTTACACAACTGGTTTCATTCTCTCAGTAACTGGTGGGGGTGTAGTTAGTTATCTGCACTTCATGATAAGAAGATGGAGTCTCAGAGAAGTTATCTGGTTTGCCCACGATAGCACATCTCATAAGAGGCAGAGTTAGAATTCAAGCTCAGGCCCCGCTATCTATGAAGCCTGTACTTTTAGGAAAGTATCAAACGTCATCACATAGAAATGAAATCTAAGCCCTGAGTCATCAGAAAAGTGACCTTAGAACCCCTAAACTCAGTTGAAAAAGGTCTGAGGGCAGGTGAAAGCTTAATGCTGAACAGAGCAACGTTTCCCGCACACACCAGGTACACAGGAGGAACTCAATGAATGATTGTTAAACTGAACCGATCTAGAGGCCCTTCCACTTGGCTGTGTGTGTGCTGGGAGAACAGACGGGTCCCCATTAACCTGCCTTTTCAGTTAAATTAGGAAATGACAATGCTGTGTCTGTGTTCTTGTCTGATGGGGACATGGCCCAGGGAAGTACAAGACAGCCAGCCACACACACACCAGGCCACTTTGAAGTGCACGGGACAAAGAAATTCAGAGTCAGCCCCAAGGAATCAGTGATGACCTCAGATGCAAAGTATGAAGTGAGCCAATTCTGGAGCCTCGGGGGATTTCACAGACTAAACAGTGGGGCGGGGGAGCTAGCCTTGGGGCTTCTGCAGAGGGAGAAAGGAAGGCTGGGTGCCTGGCTGGGTTTGTTGAGGGTGCAGAGGGGTGACTTCAGCAACAGACCAGTAAGCAGAGACCCACACACAGGCAGCACAGCCTGTCCAGGCGGTCTCTCGGCTGGCCGTGGGCTCCTGGTGTTCCCACTGTTTCTAGATTCATCCTCAGAGTTTGGGATGGAGCAGAACCTGTGCCCCCTCTGCTGAGGAAATCTGGAAGGAGACTTTGGATAGACTCAGGCCACTGCAGCCAACAAGTCTGCAACAGGAGGGGACAGGGGCCGGAGAAAGGCTTGCACAGTGTCCAGACAGTATCAGACTTAATTGTTTCAGACTGAGGGGAGGGAGCAGGCGGGGAGCATGAGAGAGGGAGAAAGAAGACATTAATGAAGGAACAACGGCCAAGGCCATACTAAAAATACCTCCCAGGCACATATTTCTCCCAATGCATAGCAGCTCTTTCAATTAAGGATGTGTCATTTCCTGGGTTATTGAATCCAGAGCATGGAACATTCCGCTCGGGGACAGTGACAGAGGGTCACATTCCAGCCTCCCCCAGCGGCAAAGCAGCAAAGGACAGGAATCGTGGCCCATGATGTTTCCACCACTCAGCTCCCCCCCCCCC